CGCAATCTTTTTCATGCATTGACCTCTCTCTATGCTCCCCTTCTCTTCATTTAGATTTCCACTGATCAGTCTTAGACCACTTTCCCTATAGTGACCACTTTCCAGTTCTCCATTCTCCTACTTCATACGTACCACTTCCTAACTCCCCACGCTGGTGCTTTGATAGAGCCGACTGGCATACTTTCACTTCACTTTCTGCTATTCATACCCCTCCATCCTCCCTCACCTCCATTTTAGAAATGATACAGTGTTTCACAACTACAGTCTTAAGAGCTGCACATACAGCTATCCCTCGAACCTCAAGACCATATACCTCCAAATGTGTTCCATGGTGGAATTCTGATTGCACTAAAGCACTTTGCTTAAAACGTGCAGCCTGAAACAGTTACTGCTACAAGAGAGGTACTCCAAATCAACTATCAGCCCTTATCTCCTTTAAAAGAGCATCTGCCTGTCTTTGACGTACAATCCGGAATAGTAAAACAAATAGCTGGTGAAATTATGTTTCATCAATTATATCCTCTACATCTATCTTAAATGTTTGGCACCGAATCCATAAACTATCAGGCAAACATCCCCCCCATCCTGCCCCCGTCCTCCATATTCGAGATACCCTCATTTCTGATCCTCTCCAAGTCGCTAATGAACTGGGTGATTATTTCAGCCAGGTCAGTAGTGGTTCTCACCTTTCTCCACGTTTGTCTTCTATTAAGACCACCAGAGAACGTACCCCCATTACCTTCACCCCATCCTCTGCTGAGTCCTATAATGCTCCATTTTCTTCCTCTGAACTCATGGCTGCCCTACAATTGTGCAGCAACACTCATGAAGGCCCTGACGGTATTCACTACCGTATGCTCCGGCAACTCCCATCTTCCTCCTTATCCTTCCTATTAAAAATTTACAACCACATATGGACATCAGGAAATTTTCCTTCTAAATGGCAAGAAGCTCTTATCCTTCCCTTCCTGAAACCCAATAAATTGGGTACCCTCCCCCCCTTTGCTTGTGCAAACTATTAGAGTGAATGGTGAACTTCTGCTTAATGTGGTATCTTGAATCTCACAATCTTCTCTCTCCTTCCCAATTCGGTTTTCGCCGTGCCAGAAGCACAGCTGACCCCCTTGCTCATTTTGAGACATATATTACATCCGCATTTGCACGCCATGAATCCGTCCTAGCTATGTTTTTTGATCTAGAAAAAGCATATGATATGACATGGCGGTACCATATTCTCCAACAATTGTCCTCTCTAGGCATACATGGAAAAAACTCTCCTTCATCTTCATGTTACTTTGATCCTCTCCACTCTTGATTATGGATGCCATATCTACTCCTCTGCCTCAACTTCTCTCCTTGCCCATCTTGATACAATCCATCTCTGTGGTCTTCGCTTAGCACTAGGCGCCTTTCGCTCCTCTCCAATTGAGAGCCTGTACACTGAATCAGGCATACCATCTCTATCTTGACGTCGTGCCCTTCTCTCTCTCCGATGCTATGTTCGATTACACCAACTTTCCCTCACTAAACTAACTATCCCACAATCCCTACTTCATCTCCATGTTTACCTACTCCTTTCTCCACTCGTATGGATACCCTCCTCTCCTATTTCCCCCATCTCTAACCTCTCCTGTTCTCTGTCCATTCTGTCCCTCCATGGCTTATACCTCACCCCCGTATTTGCTCTTCTGTTTTCCCTGACCCACCAAAATCAAATATCCCTCCTACTGTCCTTCTCACCCATTTCCTTGACCATTCCTCTAGTATTCACCTATATACTGATGGCTCCAAATCCACCTCCGGTGCTGGTTTTGCTGGTAATCTTCCCAACTCGTACTTTCAAATACTCCCTTCCTTCTGAATCCAGTGTCCTTACTACAGAACTGTATGCACTCCTTTTTGCTCTAAAACACATATACTCACTCTCCTCTTCCTCTTTTACAATTTTTACTGACTCCCGTAACTCATTAACTCTCATAAAGTCAATACACACCACCAACCCCCTTGTTTGTAAGATCCAGAACTGGTTGTTCTACCTGTCCACACGCCATAAAACAATCAAATTTTGCTGGGTGCCCAGCCATGTTGGAATCCCCGGCAATAAACAGGCAGATACACTAGCACGCCACGCCGCTATGTCCACATCATACCAGCCACGGATTATTACCCACACTTTAAGACCTTCTTGTATAATCGATGGCAATCTTTTTGGTCAAGCCTCCGCACTAATAAATTACATTCTGTAAAAATCTCATCCTGGTCAGCTCCATTTCATCGGAACAGACGTTGGGAGACTGCTCTCGCCTGCTTATGCATTGGCCACACCCGTCTAACACACTCCTATCTGATGTCACAATCTGATCCACCCTTATGTTCCTTATGTAATGATCCCCTTTCAATCCCACACATCCTATTGTCGTGCCCACGTTTTGAAACAGCCTGTACCTCTGCTTTCCCCCACCTATCCTCCCTTCACTGACCCCCCAACCTATCAGACATCCTTACAGAATCCCACACTCTCTGCTTCAACAACCTGTTCTCTTTCCTCAAACGCATACATATCCTTCATCTAATCTAACTCCTTATCACACCCGACCCTAACCCTTTCACTCACCAATTCCTTTGCCCAGCTTAGACAACTAATCACTAATTCAACCACCCTTCCCTAACATTAACTATAGTGCTACATGACCTTAGATGTCTAGCACATTTATCTTGCTTTTAACCATTAACCATTAACCATTTTCTTTTCCCCTATTACTTTTCCTTCTCTTCTTCATCCCCTTTTTTCTGTCCACTTCCTAAGGTGCACGAGGCATGCTGAAAGAATGAAAAACTAGTTTTGTGTCAGTAATGAATGGCCTCCAAGAGTGAGGTTAATTGCCTATCCCTTATCCCTCATGGGGACCCTGAGGTGTAGATTGTTTCTTCTCTCCATTTATTTCAGGCTCACCATGGATAATAATGATTTTTTTTTACCCTTTTTAGGGGAATTAAGGCATGCCCCTTCATCAACTAGCCTATCTAGATTTGAATTTGAATCATCCACCCAGGTCATTGCTCAACCTTCAGAATACACTCCAACCATTCTCCACTCCATCTTCATTGTCTACCCTGCCTTATTACTATTCTTCATCCTTATTGTCCTTTAGCCAAGAGTACTACTTCTCTCCACACCACCCCATCTTCCTTTCAACCTTGTTCTTCTACTGCTTCCACCTCTACAAACCTTTTGAGTACCCTTTATGGCCCAGCCAAAGATTCCCTTTGCAGTCATTCCAATCATTTACACCTTGTCATAGTTACATCTGAGTCTCAAGCTCTTGCATTATCTACACTGACTAACTTCATAGGCAAACCTATTCCTGCCCAACCTCACTCCTCCATTAATACTTGTACCATAACGGTTTCCATCTCCCTGACTGATTGTCCTGTTTACAACAAGGACTGGTCAAACTGTGATAACGACTTACTCACATGCCTTGTCGACAATGATGTAGTAGCAGTCTAGTGGTATACCATTCCTCCCAGAGGCCAACATAAGTCCTACACCAATGTTGCTAAGATTAGCCTATGTAGACATGACCACTTCCATGAAGTTTATATTAGTGGAGTGTCCTCCACGTAAGAAAACCAATCTGTCAGACCTCCCTACTCAACTCCCCTCCAGAAACTTTTGAAAACATCCAAAACTCTAAACATGACCCATGAGAATGCTCCACACCCTCATTCATCCTCTGTTCCTATTCGCTCTACATTCAAAGTATTGGCCGATATCCTTACTACACCCACCTGGATGCTCACACAACTCCTTTATGTCACAACAATGTCCTTTTCCGAATCTCTCCCTGCTCGACATTCTTCCCAATACTTCACCACCTTCCCCTGTTTCCTTATCTCATTCCCTGGATTCTTCTCCAACTTCTACAACTACCATCTCTATCTGTATTACCATTTGATTGTTTCATAATTTGACCTGATCACCCTATACCTTTAATCCCTTCTCCTTTTACTAATCTCCACTGTATTCCATTTACTCCCCCTCTATACCCTTTTCACTACTATATTATCCTACAGCATTCTGCAACATTTGACATTAGACATTTTATCCTAATCGTTAACTCCTTTACACCTGTTTCAGCACAATACTAGTCATGTATGACCTTTGATGTCTAGCACATTATTTCTCCTAACCATTAACTAACAACTGTTAACCATTAACCATTAGCAGGTACCTAATTTCCCTTTCTTCACAAAATATTTTTTCATGTAAGCTTCCTCACTTTAGGTGAGGCAGAGCATGTGCTTACTCTCTGTATTTTGTGGTTTATCTTTTCTTAATAATCTAGTCAAGAGGACTCAGAGAGGGACAGAATGATTATACTCCAGAATGCTAAGTGGTATTGTATTCCTAATTTCTTTTAGCTAAACAAACAACTTCTGTGAGTAATATATGTATGTGTATACCTCTCCAACAAGTGCATTATCTGTCACGGATGGGCTCAATAAATTACCCATAGAATATTATTTTTTTTCATTTTCCTTGTGAAATTATGCCAAGTGCCTGCTGAAAGTTTTCAGAATGACTTAGATATTTTTTTTAGGGAGGCAGAGAATGTGCTTACTCTCTGTATTTTGTGTTTTATCTCCCATTCTTCAGCATCATTTTTACTATCATTTATGTATCACTAGTCTAGATCATTGTGAAGCATAGAAACAATAAAATCCCCTTTTCATAATAATCTAGTCAAGAGGACTCAGAGAGGGACTGAATGATGATACCCTAGAATGCTAAGTGGTGTTATATTCCTAATTTCTTTTAGCTAAACAAACAACTTCTATGAATAATATATGTATGTGCTGCCTCTCCAACAAGTGCATTATCTGTCACAGAAGGGCTAAATAAATTGCTCATAGAATTTTTTTTTTCTTCTTTTTTTTTGAGGGGGGGGCATTTTTCTTGTGAAATTGTACCAAGTATGCGCTGAAAGTTTTCAGAATGATTTTTAATTGGTAAAAAACTCAAACCAGATGGTATCCTTCAAATATTGATAATAGGGATACATACATATTTAAGGTTGATAGTGTGACAAAAATAATTGTACTTATCTTGGAAATAATTTTAGTTGAAATCACTGAAATTTTATTGGTTTGAATTGATTGAAATTATGTTTTTTTTTAATCAATAAATATTTCCAGATAGAAATATGAGTGCTGGGCAAGAAGAAGCAGAACAACATGAAAACACAGAGAACACAGCTCGCCCTCCATGGCCACCCACTCCTGCTAGTAATACCAATAGTAGTACTACTCTAACAGAACAAACTTCTCTTACACCAAATGAAGAGTATTTTGATACATATTTTGCTGATGAGAAAATCCAGATTCCTGAATCTGAAAATGTGAGTATAAGAATAAAAGGTAGATGATTTCAAGATTTTATTATTCAGATTTTTTACTAGATGAATATTTGACTTCTTATAATCTAGAAAGAAGGGTAGAAATGTTACTAATGACATGGAACTGTGACCTATCGCTTAGCAAAAGAAATTGAAAATAACTTTTGTTTCATGGGATATTGATTTTTTCCCTCTATTCTCTTTATTTGTTGCCCCAATTATAGATGCCACTGTCTTTGATCAAGGTCATACAAGTTAGAGTACATGATAACCTGGTATTCATATAATCAGATCTTGTTAACAAGGTGATGTTGAATGCATAATTCAGTATACCGTCTCGCACAGCTTATTGTTGTTTTTCAGGAGGTAATTATATGGGGGTAAAAAAACATATAAATCTTGATGTGGGCCTTAGCAAGTCTAGGAAAGGTTTTCTAAAGATTATAAAAACTCCACATAATTGAGAAAGTAAAAAAATTGGCCTTATTTTCATCAAGTAGTTTCCCATAAGAGCCCTGAGCTTGATTGAATGACCAGTTCAGTTCCCCTGCCAAGCTGTGTTACTCAAGTTGTTACCCAAGTTGGGATGAGATTTGCTGGAGGCCTTCTATGTAATTAAAATTCAACTATGCTTGCCCTATAATCATAATCCATCTATGGTTAAACTGTAATCAGAATTTGTTCTTTCTTCTTTTACAGGGTTTTAGACTAAATAGATTTTTCTTTATGTTTTTTTAACTTTATTGTTTTCAGATTATATTCATTATTCTTATTTTTTGTAGGAAGATTTTTTGTGTCTCAGAATGTAATACTTCTTTATAAGTGGTTGATCTGCACCTGTGATTAATTAAGATCAGGATTTTGTATTTTTATCTTGATTAGTGATTGTATTAAATTTGTTCATTGTGCATTCAATCTTGGGCTTTGTAAGATTAAATGTTCTGGTGTTTCTTCTTGATTGTTACACCATTGGCACATTGAATCTGTTTTTATTTTTAATTTGTATAAGTATTTTTTAAGTCTTGTGTGTTTTGTCATTATTCTTGTAATGCTTATTTTTCTATTTTGTGATCTTGTCTATGGTTGTGGAGTGTTATTTTTAAGATAATAATCTTTTGTGTTTGATGTCTCATTTAAATTGGTTATCCAATTTTCTTGTTTTTTCCTTATTATTTCTCTTATTATATTTGTTGAATTTTGGGTCATGGCTATGGGATCTTTTATTTTGAGTGCTTTTTTGCAGATCTATCTGCTATTTCATTTCCTTTCATATTTTTATGCAAAGAGATCCATTGTAGTTTTGCATGTTTTTTAGTATCTAATGAGTGTAGTTGGGATTGTATTTCATATATTATTTGTTTATATTTTACTGGTTTGTATTCTTTTATTGCTTGTATAGATGTTAGTGAGTCTGTAAGATTACTGTTTTCTATAGTTTGTTGTTGTTTATGTAGTTTAATGCCTGTTTAACTGCAAATAGATCTGCTTCTATTATCTGTGTGTGGTTTTGTAATTTCCAGATTGTTGTAATGGTTTTGTTTTGGATATATATTGAAGCTCATATTGATTTTGGTTCTTTTATTTTTTATTCATCTGTGTATATTTTGTGGTAATTTTGGTATGTTGTGTTTTTAAGTAGCAAGTGTTGCTGTATCATTTGGTGTGGTGTTTTTTTGTTTATATTATCCATGAAGTTTGATTATGTTTTGTAGGATGTCAGTCCATGGAGGAATTGGAGATATTTTAGGAATTGTGTTAAATCTTACATTTATTTTCCTTTTTTTGTCATATTTTCAAAATGTTTGGCATGTTATCATTTTTTGTGTGAGTTTTGAAATTTCTTGAAGCATGAAAAGTTTTCCCATGATTCCTTTTTTTCATTATCAGTTATTTGTTTAGCTTCTGCTATAATTTTTTTTGTAATTTAATCCATTTTCTGTATTTGATCTTCTCCATTTATTATAAGCTTTATTTCTTTTCTTTATTATTTTATTTGTCATTCTGCCAGGGTTTATTAGGGTTGTGGTTTATCTTCATCCTATGAAAGTTGAAATGTTTTTCTCCTGTGTCTTTTATTAGCTTCATTAGTTCTTCTAGTGAA